TCTGTGCTCACTGTGGTGCCAGGCCCTGTTCTGGTGCTGGGGATATGGCAGTGAACCAGACAGACAAAAGTCCTACCTATGAAAGGACTGGGAGCAACCAATTCACCAGTGAACGTCTATAGACGTGTCATCCCCAGCAGTGGAGCTTTCTAAACACATAGGCCTGGTGAATGGAGGGGATTCCAGTGTAGGGGCCAAACCAAGTTCCCCAGTAATACTGATTCCTGCCACCGAGGCCCTACCCATGCCACCCACAACATCTGCCCCGCAGTGTAACAACTGGAGTGATTAGTTCCAAGGAAATGGGTACATTAGGCCTACAGGAATGGTTAGAAGATTAAAACTCACCAATACCAATGCTCACCACCCACACAGGAAGACAAGGAGACTTTAAAACGCTTATCTCACAACATACTCACCTGCAGAGTAGTCATCTTGTTTTAACAGAGTACACAGTACTTTATAAAAATATCCTCAAATGATAGCAAATTTTCATGCTTTGACATTAGATTGTTCTGTTTTTGTTTTCTTTTAATCTTATGTATTGTGAAATAGAGCATATTCAGAAAAATGCATAAAGCATAAATGTAGTTAACAAATACTTATAAATCAATACCCATGTAACCACCATTTAGCTCAAGAAAGACAATATTGCCAGTACCCTCAGATCTGTCTCCCAGCCTCAGCCCCTCTCCTGACTTTCATAGTGAGCTCCTTCTTGCTTTTCTTTTGAATTTTACCGCTTATATATGCACAGGTTTTGTTTCATTTGTTTCTTTAACAGCCAGGAGTTATTCTAGGTCCCATGCCTCATAAATAAGGTGAGAGATCAAGCTGCTGGCTAATGCCATTTTTATCAAAAAATGATGTATGCTGTAAAGCCACAAGGAAAACTTTCTTCTGTTTCATGTGAACCAGGCATATTGAAAGAAATTCCAAAAATGTACACTGGTGACATTCTTGCAAAGTCCCACCTAGTATATAGCCTTGCCCTGTTAAGCCACATTTTCCCAGCTTTCATTTGGTTGGTTTTTCCTTCAGGGGCACTTAGTTTCTACCCTCTGGACACATTTGTGGGAAGGCCTGCACTCAGTGTTTGCCCAGGCCTGTCCACAACACAGGTGCCCTCCTCCACGTGGAGAGCTTCCCTGTACTGCTGTAGGAGAGTGTGGGGTTATCTTCTAGGGGACATGCTGTGAAAACTGGAAGATTTTGACATTGACCTTTCCCTCATGGTTTTCTTCCTAAAAATTCATTGCCTGTCTGTAGAATAGTGCAGGTTTGCCCTTCCCTATTAGTGGAGGAGTGAGAAAAGTGACCATTTCCAACTCTAATAAATAACCTCCTCCAGTGTTTCTTGGGTGGTATCAAATTCCTTTCCATTTTTATATTAGAAAATAGAACCAAATAGATAATGTATTGTTTAGAACAGAAATGCTGCCATGAGCTTAGTTTGCCAACGATCAGGCATCACCAAGATCCATGTGAGCGCCCATGCATGAATGGTTGGTGGAAATGTTTTGCTTAGGCCAAGGTCATAGTTAAAGTCCCCTGTGTAGGTAGTTAGACTAAGTCCACTGAGAGTATACATAATATAAAACTTTAAAAAAACTCTGAAAACCTACTATACTATGAAGTAATAATGGCATAGAGGATTAATAACTGAAGGGTAATTTAAAAGCCTGTTATCGTCTTACTTAAAATACATTATAGAGATTAACAGATTTTTCTGGAGCCAAAAGGGACTTGTTTGTTCTTAAACATCATCTGGTTCGTCTTCCTCATGTATAGAAAAGCACATAACAGTTTAAACGTAGGATTAATTTTTCTAATTATATTTTGCTCAGGCTAATATTAAATTGAATTTACATTTCCCAGTGACATGCCACCTAATGTTGACATGACACAAACTAGAGACATACCAGATGGCAGAGATGAAACGTAGTTTACATCATCTACACAGCAAAACAATGAGTGTTGACAGTAGATTTGGGGTTGGCCCTTAGTCCCTGACCAGGTACTCGGAGTCTGTGCACATGCCACATAGGAACTGATAGGATCATAATTGTAGCAGGCATGACAGAAAATTTCTGAGGATAGGCCAGGCGTGGTGGCTCACGCCTGTAATCATAGCACTCTGGGAGGCCAAGGTGGGAGAATTGCTTGAGCTCAAGAGTTCAAGACCAGCCTGAGCAAGAGTGAGACCCCATCTCTACTAAAAATAGAAAAAATTAGCCGGGCATGGTGGCA